TACGTCAATTAATTTTTCAAATTTCTTCCCATCGGTACGCTCCATTTCCACCCAGTAAGCTTATTAATTTTTCAAAAATCTACCACCCGGTATGTTTATTAAATACCTATCGTACCGGTGGGAAAATATACAAGTACAAGTCAAGTTTTTTATTTTCCTAAATTTAAGTATAATGAGAAGAAATATCGGTGCAGCTACTGTTCGACATACGCACTGGAAAGTAGGTCAAGCTGAAGTCGCTCTCTGAACACTACGATACATGCGTCATCTGATATCAGTTCCTATAAATAGACGTACTTTCCCCTCAACAGTGACAACTACTCATGTATATCGATCGAATGATGTAATGTCGCAAGGTGATAGGATCATATTTATAGCTAAGGAGGTCATTTCAAGTGCAGCAAAGAAGTTGGGTCTGTTTTCAAACGTCAATTATTTCATGCCGATTTATGATATAAACGATGTTAAATCACACTTCTATGTAAGTTTAACCCTTAGGAGTTTACAGGTATGCAAAACAAACCTTAGGCCTATATCTGAGAATAAATTTAGGCCTACTTTGAATAACGTCTCCGTATGACTATCGGAGGCGGCTTAGGTGCGATATATCTGGGTCTTCGGACCCTGGCGATTATTAAATTTAACTCACGGCAAAATTTTTTATTTTTTGAAAATAAATTAGATATCCTGTTTTTAAGATAAATAAATTATAATACTGAGTGAATTTTACCTGGTGAAAGTTTTTTTAACACTGATAAATAGCTAGTTTTTTTTTCTTTCTCTTCTTTATTTTTATTTATTTATTTAATTTTTTTTTTGGGGGGGGGGAGGAGTGGTGTGAAGGTTTTTTCCGGGCAGTACTTTTATTCCATCCAGTACTTTTATTAAATTTCGAGATTTTTTTCCACCCAGTACTTTTATTCCAACATACACGTCCTTCCCACTGCAGCACTCACCGCTTCAAATTGATATTCTGTCAGCCCTTCGAAATTCCAAAATTTGCTTACTATCCGATCTGCTTCTTCACGCTCCATACCGTAACAATGCTTTCAGGCTGCTACTGCACCAGTATTTATACCTCTGCAACTACTTCAGGGGATTCCACAGTTAGCTGAAGTAATAAGCTATTCACTGGGGGTATTTTTATCTGTGTCAGAAAAGCAAGTGATTAAGGTCAGAGCAATTAACTGTCTTGATTGCTGTCATGCAGACTAAGACTGGACCTCCCAAGTGGCAGTGCCTGAGCAGTTATGCAATCAATTACCAGCCATGTAATCTACCTTGAGATTTCTGTACAGGGTGACTTAGAGTTAAAATGACAATCTATCTAGCTAGAGACATATCTGTGAATATCCGTAAAAATCTATCAGTCGCCCTGGTAGAGGGTAGTGTTCCTTTAGGCTGGTCAAAGCTTGGCTTATGCAAAGCTTGGTTCTGTCAAAAAAGTATCCATATGTCGGCAACTACTGCATAGAAGAATTTGAAATTTTGCATGCAAGCGGTCAGTTTTGCAGTGCGTAAGATGAGTCAAGTAGTGCATTTCAAATTTATTAATCTATGGCAGAATGGCGCGAAAAAGACAGACATTACCAGACAGATCAAAGCGCCAAACGGAACGGTCCCCACAGTTTTATAGAGTAATGCCCAGACTGATATACCTACACAGAGGTCACCCCCAATGTATCAAAATCTTACCTACAGGGTACAGGACCCACTGTCTTTCGGGATACGCTGTTGCAACTAAACAAATAACACTAAGTCCGTTCAGAACGAGGGGTAAATTGCCACCAAAATGCGTTTTTCAAAGCCCTTAGCGAACACCAAACTGGTTTTAGCAGGTAAGAACACCAAACGACCTCCGAGGCACCCACTGTACACAGCAAAACATCGTCGTCTGTTACTCTAATTAATTGGAGGCCATAATGGGTAGAACACTGAAACAGCGTGGCTTTCTTTATTGAGGTCAGATTTCACCTGTACCGCCCAATTAGTCAAAACAGAGTCTACCGATATCCAGAAGAGGCCTACGACGAAGCATATGCCGGTGTGAAGGGAATGGACGTCCGCCGTAATGCATGTCCGTGGGACATGTATTCCTAGGCATTAATGTCCTGCGGACACTAAGTCCTGGGAATGCATGTCCTGGCTCTTCCATTCCTAGGAACGCATGTCCTAGGACATAATTTCCTGGGATTTAACGTCCAGTGGACATCCATTACTTAGTATTCTAAGTCCTGCAGACAGGTATCGATGTCCTAGTCGGACGTATTTTCCCAGCTAGACTAGTAATAGATGTCTTCCGACATTTTCATATGAATGATGTGTTAATTTTAGAAGTTTTAAACGCGATGTTTAAGAATGTTATTACGCTTATTAGAATTATTTGTATACATGTACCTCTATAGGCCTACACACTTTATTCGGCTAACATAAGATATTTTACGTAAACGAAAAAAATGACTACAAATTCATATAGGCCTACATATATATATTATTTCCGATTAATATGATAAAATACAACTGTATGTCTGGGGTACACAGCTTTGGATTTTGGCTCGTGCCCATTTCTAACTAATATGTGTTTGTCCTTAGACGCATCACATTACATTTTACGTTTTACGGGGTGTTTTTCGGTAAAATACGAGTGTGTGAAATAATACACAGCCACCCTCTCGTGATATACTCACAAGTGCGTGTTGAACACTTCTCGATGACGTTCGAGCAGTTCAGGTACTGATATACATATCGTTCGGGTGAAAGTTAATTATTTTATACTTAGTGCTTTGATTTTCATTGGGAATATTTGTAGTTAGAGAGACATGATATGCAGTTTGAGACTGTAAATGAAACGTGTATAAGTGTATGATAAATAAATTGAATGTGTCTGTTATTGTTTATACGTGCATTTTTAGTATTAGTATTAAAATTCTTTTGAGCGCAATTTTTCCTTGCATATGGATCCCGAACTTCCCATTTTAATTCTTTGTGTTTTTCGGTGAAATTAGAAAGTATATGCTCTTTTGCGTACAATTATCCAATAAAATTCACCCACGGCCTCGTATAATCACCCTCGAGTTACTAAAGGAATTCTAAAATAGCACAACGTTAAAAATTAAAAATGATGATATTTATATCAAACAGTTAAAAATCTCGTCTCATAAAAAAATCCAAATAGTATAACAACATGTAGTGCGTTTAAATGGAGAGTAAATTAGGATAACATTTGCATATAGAATAACATCGCTGCTTTGGATTCGAACTCACTTACGTTTCTCTACGCTGTTGGTAATTCATCCAGCCGTCTTACTGATGAGCCTGTGTGGAAGCTGCTGCAAGCCGACAGAAAATTACCGATACTTATGGCGCCGTGTTTATAATTATTGTGCGGACATTAATTATGTAGGACATGCGTTTCTGTGTATATGTGAAAGGAAACTATGTCCGACAGGAATACATGTCCTACCTGCGTATAAATAAAGCTGGGAATCTAGGTCCGGGTAGGACAGTACATCCTAGGGAACGCATGTCCATAGGACATGTTTTCCCAGGAACGGAGGTCCAGAGGACCTCCGTTCCTGGGGGACATGCATTCCTTTCACACCGAGTCTAAAGTGACAAGGGTGATTGACAGCGTCAGTATTTGGAGTGGATACCACATTGGTGCCAAAACACCAATGGTAGTCATCGACGAAAACCTGAACCAGATCAAATTAAGGAATAATCTCGGAACCACTTGACTATCATTTGATAGGGGACACCTTAGGAACAATTTTAGGTTGCACGGNTCCAACATGAAGGCGTCATCTGCTCATCTGCTCACATAAATGTATCATCGTTTCTAGCTTCACTTATCTCTACCATTTGTCTGGGGCGTATCTCCAAAGCAATATTATCCTTAGTATCGTCCGGAAGTAAATGTTTTGCTATCTCAACCGATCTCTGTTCATCCGCGGGTCCTTTAGATTTACTCTCTGAATGCCAAATAATGCCTTTGAGTACGTCATATCGCCTTGGCAACCAACCAGCACGGAATGCAACGTTTGTGACGTAGGACACGAGTAAGATACTTAAAAAGCTGAGGAGCATACTAGTTGTCCTATAAGGGAACGGCTGGAAATCAGTTTCTTCCTCATACCAAGGCCACCGCAGAACTGCTCGAAGACCTAGCAACGGCTCCCCGCTAAGTATTCGGATGATCAATCCTACAATATATCCAGCAATTGATCCATAGATGTTGGCTGCGTCTACGAACAAGACCGAGGTCAGCTGAGGGAAAAGGATGACGTATATCAGGTCGGAGCACAGAATGGTAAGGCTGAAGATGCTGGTGATCTCGATAGCCAAAACCGTGGCCAGAATGGCCATGAGAGTCATAAATACTCGCATGGCCCAGATAAGTTCACGTTCACTGGCCTGGAAAAATTTAAGCAGGTCGCAGTTCGTTACTGAAGGGCAAACTATACGCGAGTCACTAAATGTGCAAGTAACATTTGTCATATTGCAATTATGTGACAGGTATACATGCAAAATAGTGCACTGAAGCAATGCTGAATAAAAAGCGCTGAACACATGCACCCTTAGATATATAACTGAAAGATTGCAGCAACATGCAGCATTATTGCTTCAAACTTAAGGTTAGAGGCAAGTGCAAGAAAAAAGTTCATTGCTGCTTATTTGCGCCTTCATATTTGCACCAAGCCTAAAATGTTGCTATGGCTCATCATTCTGAAAGCTAACGGCCATATTTTACATTTCTGCCAATTACATTACATTTGAGCAAAATGTTCATTAGCTTGGTTGTTGGATATACATGAAAATTCTAGGGCCTGTTAGAAGCAGTAATGTAGGGGGTGGTGCGACTTAAGTATTGGTTGGTATGTGTGGCCTTTCTGTAGACTTTCAGACTCAGGTGGCTGTCGTTTGAATCACGTGTGATTAATGAATCCAGGAAAGCAATATAATTGTTTTCCTACAGCTCTCTAGTGAACTTGATGTTGACATTTACAAGAGCAGGCCTAACCAACTACCAGACTCGGCACCTAAGGATCCTGAATTAACCGGTATATCGGACCACACTACCCGCTTCATCGGACTATAGCGCGTGCGCAACATAGCGAACCTTTCGAGATTCCGAGCCCAGGTTGGCCGTAAGCTAACGGTATACTGACATTTTTAGGCTTGTGATTGAGAATTTCCATGTATACCTTACATTTGTTATTTAAAATAATACTGGTATATATCTATACTACCCATGCTTGAAATATTATTTTTACATGCATACATGAGTAGAACGTATTTGTTTCTTATTCAAACAAATATTTTTCAGGTACACTGCATACTGCCAAGACGCTGCTGTTCAACAGATGTTTTTTTAAGCAAAATAATTTCTGTAACAATGATATCAAAATAATGCATAACATCTTAAAAAGGATGAAACTGTCTAGCAAATACCTTCCCCATCCTTGCGGGTTTATAGATATTGTTGGAAAACATGGAGCTCGAGGAAAGCAAGATGGAGTCTGCAGACGACATGACTGCAGCGGAAATGGCGCCAAGACCAATCAGAGCAACTAAAAAAGTACAAATGTATTGGTATAGATGTATATTATAGAAAACTATAGCACAAAGACTGACTCGTTAATAAACGCTTTCACATAGCACTATAGGGCTTTCGATGCCTTTCTTCCCGGTCGTCAAGGCATCCGTTGCCAATGACGTTAGGATGTCCCACCGATTCTCGCGTTCATTTGAGACCAAAATAACTTATGGTGCTATATGAAAGTAGACACATGATGCAATCCTCATATGTAAGTTGCGAGTTTTTGTACAGTGCGTCAGAAAACGATAAGCCCAGAACTGCACACATTGAAGATAAAAATGCATTTGAGCAATAAGACGAATACATCTTATGAACCTTATATTATTGTTTTATATAGTGTTGTTGTTGCCTGTTTTAAGTAGGTCACCAGATATATCCCTCGATATCGCGTGACAAAGAAATGTCAGAGAGGGCTCCGTCAGTTAAAATATTTTAAGAGATTTAAACAAATAACCAAACGTTTAGGAAAAAAAAAACACTGGACTAACTTTAAATGCAGGAATAGGGGCGTTGATCATTGGTAAGTACGAGAAAATTGCCGTTTTCTCCAGGACAATCCATGTTTGGCCAAAACAAAGATTTAACATTACCTAAATTTTGTAATTTTAAAAGCTATTGTGAATCATATATTATACTGATATTACCTACAAAAGGACACACATACTGCAAGACAAGCGGTGCCATCAGTTTTAGGTCATCTGCCGGAAACGGAAGCGCTCCTTCGTACGCTGTGGCGTTCCAATCTGACACAAATAAATAAAAAAAAAATAATAATAAGAAATAAAAGAAAGTTTCCAAATCTAGTTGCACCCTTACAACATTTGTTACAGAGACTATTCATCGCAATGCAGCGCAAATTATCAGGGATACAGGAATCGTTCTGAATGTAGAAGCATGCACATTGTTTTAAACACGCGGTACAATGGACATGTGACCAGGCCCGAAGTACAGTGCAAATGTCTAAAGTAAATTTAGATGAATATCAATGCCCAAAACATTTTTGACCAAGATAAATTACCAACAGACACTGCTACCATCCCAATGAGTAGAGGCGGAATTGTGGAGACTACAAATCATGCTGCTCCTGCGTACACCATCACTTCCGCCAACCTCGATGACTTCATCGCCAGGACGCGCTGCCACAAAATCTGTTTACCAGTTAATGACAAACATTAATACTATTTATAAACTTAAGTACTTAATTTTACCCAGTGGCCACAGCCCAGCAAACAGGACGTTTTATAACGACATTACAACGTTACCATAGAGTTATTTGGGTTATATAAACGTTAAAGTAACTTAATAATCATCTTATTTGCTTGCTGGACGGTATACAAAATCAGCTAGTTACCCTCCCCATCTCCACATAATTTTGAAAAACAGTTTAATCTATTTAAAGAATAAGGATTTTACTTGATCTCAGTCCATCAAGTCTCTTACTATACGGAACACCCAGATAAGCACCACTGATGTTACAAATAGCCTGCTTGCCGTAAGAGGGGGGGGGGGGGTCACTGAAGACATACCGGGATACAATAACCACCTCGAAGTATCTTCTCTTAGCCCTCCGACTAGATTATAAAATAAACGAGTGCTTTTACCTGCCAAGGTATTCCCCCCATCATCATTTGTAACAGTGTATCTATGTAGGTGGTGATGTCTTGGTTTGGAACCTTCCCTATCCACTTCTCTGACGTCTCTGATAGTGACGTCATCAGGGGGTTCGACAAGGCAAAAGGGATGGCCAGCCACTAAGAAAGAAAGACATTTACTTTTTTTTCCTATTCAAAGGGATGTTACAACTAAAGAAAAGACTCTTTTCCAGTTCCTCCACAGAGCATTAACTGCACATATCGACGGAGATAATATACACAAGTTACTGTGTACCTATGTGTGGGCACAGGGTCACATTAACATTTGTGGGAGTACATGGTGAAATTCCCATATTTGTATTGCCTACAACGTTAGCTGTTACATTTTTCCTTACACCTAAAAGAGAATAAAACTTACCAGGCCTACAAAGATGAACAACATCTGCATGACGTCAGTGTAGGAGACCGAGTAGAGTCCTCCAAACAACGTGTATATCAAGGCCACAGCTGCCGACACCGTGATGGTGATCCAATGGTCGAGCCCAACAACCACTGTTAGAGTTGTACCTAAATCGATGGACACCACAATGTAATGTATGGGTTCACAACACCTTAGAATAGCGTCACCTGACTGTTGCGCCACCACGCGGACGTATCTTACACTACATTTACATCTGTACAAAATCTATGTCAAAACTAGAAAAAATGCATTTTTAAAGAAAATGATAAATGAAGACTTTTTGGGTACTTGAATAATATATCTTTCCAGTATGCCTTTAAATACAGCCCCCTTACCTAATGAAGACAAGGTGGCAGCGAACCAAAATATGTCCCCGGTAAAAGCCGGCAAGAACAGGAACCCTGTCATGATTTTACCAAACTTCCGGTCGAAGGGATCCAGCATAGTGATATAATTGTCTTCACGCATCTTTTTGACAAAGAAGAACGCAGCTGACATGATGAAAATAAAAAAGCAAATTTCATACAAAACTTACCTATAAATTATGAAAGGATGACATATGAATTTTTCAACAAAAAGTTGGATATTACAGTGAAAATGATACAATTCTCCAATACTGATATATGCACATTTACAATATACGCGGCATTCAACTGGAATTCAAAGTTCAAAATTTTCTTTATAATTGAATTTGCCAAGTATTTACGATTAAATTTTTTTTTCTTATAATTGTGACAATCTCAAAATGTTTATTAATGAGGATAATTTATTTCTTGTATAGAATATGGTTTATTTTGTTGCACCGGTGTGACTGTCGCACTGATACGCATTTAGTGTTACCTAAAACAGAACTTGCACAGTACCCGAGCGGCATACTGAGCGCGGACAAACCAGAAGTGTAGATACCCTCGGCAAGCCCGCTGATCAGAGAGCCATCTACCCACGTGGCTGGAAAGTAAAGGGATAACAACTCTTCGCATGAGATCCATAATTCATAAAAACGAATAATTAAATACTAAAGTGTTGTAATTAGTTACAGTATAAATAAGGCAGAATATGTTCTTTTTTTTTTACTTCCAAACCAAAATATGTTGAACTTATTATTATTATTATTTAATTATCAATTATAAACAATATAAAAACAAACTGACCTGTCAAAGTAAATATCCCTAGATACGTCCCAATATTTCTCCCTGCTAGCAAGATATCCTCACTCGTCGCCTCTTTCCCTTTCTTTTTATTTTTCCATGCCGCCCAGATACCAAGGATGAAAATAAGCAAGTAGAACACAAAAATGGCGACGAGTCCCCAAACATGAACAGCCATATTCCCAAAGTCTCTGCCACAGACTTGCCGTGCCAAAGTGTGAATCCCTGCGTTCCTAAAACAAGTTAAGTCGAATTACCACGCCTCTGCCTTCACATAAACCTAGAAATGCGCATACCTTAGGGACCTGTTCTTCCACGCTGTTGATCAACACAATATTACTAGACAAATGAAATGCAATGTCTTATGGTAGCAGAGAGTTCTCATCGTATGCAGGTGTTTATCATGATAATAAGACGATCAGCCTATCCTTAAAGTCACATTCACGTTTTGGCAGACATAACGTGTTTGTCTTCAGTACGTATTTTTGCCATGTTGTGTATATTGGTGTAAAAAACGTGAAGAATGCGGGGAAGGTTTTTTATTTTTTTTTTTCTATGGGGTTTTGGGTATTACGTTAGTAGATCTCTGGAAAACACGGGTCGACCTTAATATCTGTAAAGTCAATCGTAGGATACAGATGTTAAGGATATTGTCACCCTTCACCCTTATATACTGTCTAATATATATCCTTTTGGGTAATACATAAATGTTAAGTATTTAGTAACTATATTAAATAATATCAAGGCAAATGTCATCTTACAGGTAACGCCATAATTGTCATTTTGGGGTAAAATCTGAAACATCGGTTTTGATTCCTCATTTTTATAACTAAGCACCCAACGAACACCTTTTCAACACCGATTTATTGACACAATTTAGCACTCCAAAACCCTGCCAGTGATTTTTCTTCAAAATCTTAGTTCAGATTTCATTAATAATAAGGCAAACTGTTGTCTTTTTTAATGAAAATATGTAATGAGGTGCACATAACTCCATAACAAAAAATCAATTAAACTAAAATGACGAAACGGTATTGTATTGTTTTTAAATCCACGGAAAGATAGATGCATTACTGAATGATTAGAAGCAGGAAACCCTTATTTTCACTATCTGGATGATAATCAAGTGTTACAATATCCTTAATCAATTGCAAAATGCATTTAATTTTGCGAAACACAAGTGAAACAGTATCTACAAATATATGCCTTCGAGTATGAGACATTACAGTATAGTCTCGTGCATTTATTCTAGACATTAAGCTGAAGAAGGAGAATTAAGCATAAGTGTGTTCATTACCAGCAGTTTTCACAACGAAATCCTACCCGCATTGTATCTTAGAGTAAAACATATAGTATACAATGAAAAACCGGTATCTTCTCATAGTCAAAACCTGATAACAAAATGTATTACATAATTTGCAGTACAGAATCTCTAAGAGGTACATGAAGATAACAAAATGTAGTAATAAAAACTTTATAAATGGTCTTAATGTAATGCTTTTATAATATACTTCCAATGGACAACAAAAACAGCGTCTGTCTGTTATGGTGCCCATTCCCTCGTCATATAATATTTGTGTAAAATACTTTGCGTTCCATTAAACATTAGACCACGCAATTACGTAAAACGCTTAGTTTCGAGGGAAAATTAAATATGAGGAAGACATTTTCGAGCTTTGTCTAATCGGTTTTTTAATGTGGGGGGGGGGGGGCGCAATTTACAGTTCGAATAGCGAATTCTTCGATAATGAGACCTATTATTCATCGTTTAACTTGTTTATTTTTATTTTTTAATACGCTGATGCGTTTACAAAAGCCCCAGTTATTATTAGTTATCACATTTAATGTTATTCATTGCTTTCGGTTGTCTGGCGGAATAGCTGTTATAATCTCAACAACAGCAATTGCCCGAGCAGCACCGCCTACCGGAGATAGGCCTTATTGCAATAATGGGTTGGTACTCACACTATAAGGCCCTTGAACTTTTATGAGCACACCCAAATGCTGTGGGAATCACAGTGAAACATTGGATTTGGGGAAGTACAGGTTGTGAATTTAAATGAATGGTACAAAATAAGGATGTTTTCAGCTCTATTTTGTATTTTCTGTACCATTAGTCGTACAAGTTATATAATAATGATATCTGGAATACAAAGCGGCACTGTTAATAACGATTACACCTGTGAGGTGGTCACTTCCAAATGGTCATTTTTGATCTATGTTGTCTGCAGACTGCATAAAATATCTGTGAGATGTAATTGGTCCGGTGTAACAAGAATACAAGTCCGCTGGGAACCGTAGTACGCTTCATATTACTTTGTACAGGTGACGAGCGTCCCATATACTAACCCCATTACTCCAACTTAACCTAACCTGTACTAATCATTATGGAGTCCGGACTTCCATTCCTAGGACTTCCATTCCTGTAACACGGGCTCCAACATGAAGGCGTCATCTGCCCATCTGNCGCAATTTACAGTTCGAATAGCGAATTCTTCGATAATGAGACCTATTATTCATCGTTTAACTTGTTTATTTTTATTTTTTAATACGCTGATGCGTTTACAAAAGCCCCAGTTATTATTAGTTATCACATTTAATGTTATTCATTGCTTTCGGTTGTCTGGCGGAATAGCTGTTATAATCTCAACAACAGCAATTGCCCGAGCAGCACCGCCTACCGGAGATAGGCCTTATTGCAATAATGGGTTGGTACTCACACTATAAGGCCCTTGAACTTTTATGAGCACACCCAAATGCTGTGGGAATCACAGTGAAACATTGGATTTGGGGAAGTACAGGTTGTGAATTTAAATGAATGGTACAAAATAAGGATGTTTTCAGCTCTATTTTGTATTTTCTGTACCATTAGTCGTACAAGTTATATAATAATGATATCTGGAATACAAAGCGGCACTGTTAATAACGATTACACCTGTGAGGTGGTCACTTCCAAATGGTCATTTTTGATCTATGTTGTCTGCAGACTGCATAAAATATCTGTGAGATGTAATTGGTCCGGTGTAACAAGAATACAAGTCCGCTGGGAACCGTAGTACGCTTCATATTACTTTGTACAGGTGACGAGCGTCCCATATACTAACCCCATTACTCCAACTTAACCTAACCTGTACTAATCATTATGGAGTCCGGACTTCCATTCCTAGGACTTCCATTCCTGTAACACGGGCTCCAACATGAAGGCGTCATCTGCCCATCTGCTCACATAAATATATCATCGTTTCTTGCTTCACTTATCTCTACCATTTGTCCGGGACGTATCTCCAAAGCAATATTATCCTTAGTATCGTCCGGAAGTAAATGCTTTTCTATCTCAGCTGATCTCTGTTCATCCGCGGATTCTTTAGATTTACTCTCCGAATGCCAAACAATGCCGTTGAGTACGTCATATCGCCTTAGCAACCAACCAGCACGGAACGCGACGTTTGTGACGTAGGACACGAGTAAGATACTTAACAAGCTGAGGAGCATACTGGTTGTGCTATAAGGGAACGGCTGGAAATCAGTTTCATCCTCATACCAAGGCCAGCGTCAAACTGCTCGCAGACCTAGCAACGGCTCCCCGCTAAGTACCCGGATGATCAATCCCACTACATACCCAGCAATTGATCCGTAGATGTTGGCACCGTCTACATACAAGACCGAAGTCAGCTGGGGAAAAGGATGACGTAGACAAGATCGGAGGACAAAATGGCCAGATTGAAAATACTTGTGATCTTGATGGCCAAGACCGTAGTCAGAATGGCCATGAGGGTCATAAATACTCGCATGGTCCAAATAAGTTCTCGTTCGCTGGCCTGGAAAATGTAAAGCAGGTTGCAGTTCTTCGCTGAAGGGCAAACTATACGCAAGTCACCAAATGTGTAACATTTGTCATATTGCAATCATGTCGCATGTATACATATAAAATAGAATAAGAAATCCATTTCCTAGTGTCATGCCCCCTTTATACAGACCTCCGATATGATCTTTATTCAGTATACAAAAAACAGAGCATCTTACCAGAATGGATAAAATTAAAACACTAATGACTGGTAAGAAGAATAAACATATTATTGCTCTTGCCAAATATTTATGGTTAGCCTTCCAAAAAAGGGATTGTTTGCACCCATTACCAACAAGTAAACTGGCAGTTGAGTAGGTAGAGCCATTTGGGCTCTGCCAAATATATTTTGTATTTTCCTTACAAGTAGTCGTACTATATCACTATTTAACATAATTCATATTTATTTATATTTGCATTCCTATTGTACATTTTCATCTTCCCATGTAGATGCATACGATACAATGGATAAAGCATATGAAAATAGCTTGTTGAAGCAATATTGTAAAAAAAGCGCTTAACACCTTTAGAAAATGGAAAATTTGCAGCAATATTGCAGCATTATTGCTGCAAACTAAAGGTCTATGGCAACGAGTTGCAAGAAAAGGTTTATTGTTGCTAATAATAATAAACATATATTAATCAGGTACAATTCAAACGGCCAAGACGGTCCTGTTTAACAGATTTTTTCTTTTTTAAGCAAAGTAATTTATGTAACAATGTTACCAAAAAAAAAAAAATATATATATATATATATATATATATTGCATAACACCTTACAGCTGCTTTCTCCTTAAAAAAAGATGAAACTGTCTATCAAATACCTTTCCCATTCTTGCGGGTTTGTAGATATTGTTGGAAAACATGGAGCTCGAGGAAAGCAAAAGGGAATCCGCAGACGACATCACTGCAGCGGAAATAGCGCCAAGACCAATCAGAGAAACTAATAAATAAATAAATAAATGAAAACGTACACATGTACTGGCATACATATATATATATATATATATATATATATATATATATATATATATATATATATATATATATATATATATATATATATATATATATATTATACTAAACCATTGAACAGAGGCTGGCTTGTTAATGTGCTGTTTTACATAAAACCGCTGTATATGCTTCCATATTATATTATATTATATTATATTATATTATATTATATTATTGACTGTGACGGTTTAATTAAATGCTTAATCATTTAAAAAATGGCTATATTTTAATCTATTGTAAACTCATATTTGATAATGATATTACCTACAAAAGGACACAAATATTGCAAGACAAGCGGCGCAATCAGTTTTAGGTCATCTGTCGGAAACGGAAGTGCTCCGTCGTACGCTGTGGCGTTCCAATCTGACACCAAATTAGAATAGATAAAATAAAAGAAACTTCCAAATATAGTTGCACACTGACACCATGTGTTGGGGACTATTCATTGCGCTGCAGAGCAGATTACTAGAGATATAAACGTCGTTCTAAATATAGAACCATAACATTGTTTAAAAGACGCGGTACATTGGACATCTGACCAAGAAGTACAAAATAAATGTCTAAAGAACATTTTTATGTCTACCAATGTATAGAATATGCTTTTGACCAAGATAAATTACCAACAGACACTGCCACCATCCCTATGAGTAGAGGCGGGATTGTGCACACTGCAAATCCTGCTGCGCCTGCGTACAACATCATCTCCGCCAACCTCGATGACTTCATCGCCAATGCTCGCTGCCACAGAGCCTGTATAATGACAAACATAATTACTATTTCTAAACATAAGTAATGAATCATTTTGTCATGTGGCCTCCAGCTTACACATACAAATTCAGTTACCCCTCCCAACCGCAACATGATTTTGAAAATAACGCCCAGAGAAACACCTCAGGTGTTACAAATAGCCTGCTTGCCTTTAGAGGGAGTCACTGAAGTCCTAAAATAGCCATACCCTCCTCGAAACATCTTCTCTAAGCCTATGCCCACTAGGGTATAAAAGAAACGAGCGCTTTTACCTGCCAAGGTATTCCTCCCATCATGATTTGTAGCAGTATGTCTATGTAAGTGCTGATATCGTGGTTAGGGACTGTCCTTACCCACTTCTCTGTTGTCTCTGATAGTGACGTCATCAGGGGGTTGGACATTGCAAACGGAATGGCCAGCCACTGGGAAAGAAAGAAAAATACTTTCCCATTTTTCCCAAAGGATGTTACAACCAGAGAAAACACTTCTCAGTGATCTCGAGTTCGACAAATCTACTGGTAAACAGGAGTGCAGCCACCTTAAATCGGTTGTTTCTTACTGTACTTAGGCTGCTGTTCAGGGAATTAACAAAAGTTACTGTACATCTGTGTGTGGGCACATGCAGGGACACATTACCATTTGTGGTAATGCATGGTGATATTGTTATCTTTGTATTACCTACAACGTTAGCTATTACAAATTAAAAGGTTTATAAATATGTATGTGTGATCTTCATACACCTTTGTAACACACAAAAGCGAGTGAAACTTACCAGGCCTACAAAGAGGAACANGAGTATGTCTATGTAAGTGCTGATATCGTGGTTAGGGACTGTCCTTACCCACTTCTCTGTTGTCTCTGATAGTGACGTCATCAGGGGGTTGGACATTGCGAACGGAATGGCCAGCCACTGGGAAAGAAAGAAAAATACTTTCCCATTTTTCCCAAAGGATGTTACAACCAGAGAAAACACTTCTCAGTGATCTCGAGTTCGACAAATCTACTGGTAAACAGGAGTGCAGCCACCTTAAATCGGTTGTTTCTTACTGTACTTAGGCTGCTGTTCAGGGAATTAACAAAAGTTACTGTACATCTGTGTGTGGGCACATGCAGGGACACATTACCATTTGTGGTAATGCATGGTGATATTGTTATCTTTGTATTACCTACAACGTTAGCTATTACAAATTAAAAGGTTTATAAATATGTATGTGTGATCTTCATACACCTTTGTAACACACAAAAGCGAGTGAAACTTACCAGGCCTACAAAGAGGAACAACATCTGCATGACGTCAGTGTAGGAGACCGAGTAAAGTCCTCCAAACAACGTGTATATCAGGACCACTGCTGTCGACAGCGTGATGGCGATCCAGTGGTCGAACCCGACAACCACGGTCAGAGTTGTACCTAGATCGATGGACACCACAATATACCTCTTTTTTCAAAATGTGAAATTCTGAAAATGAAGTAAGCCTCTTTTTTCATAGACTTTGGCGTTTGTATAAGTGCATTTTTATGAAAAAGCAGAACTGTAGTTCATGTGTGTATGTGTGAACGTACACCAGCGCCAGTGGTTGTGTATAAAATCGAAATTTTATTTTATCAACACATTTTAACCAATTTCTTTTAGTTTAAAGGGCTACTTATATAAACAAATAAATAAAGAAGTTGACTATTTTTGACAATGTAAATACTATGTGTATAAATGCTCGACAACCTTTTTTAATTTTGATAGTGAAGAAAAGGACACCGTAATGAGAAAAGTCTGGTTGGTAAGTTTCAAGTGACGCCATTGTAGGACAACATCTTCCTGCGACTGTAATGTCGTAATGACAAAGCATAGGTAATTAAACGCCTAGGTGACAAAGTTAAAACAAAAACATTGAAGCAAAATTGTGTGGCACTTGGATTCTGTGATATCTGATATCGGACAATAAGAAGCACATCAGTTGTTTTCCTTTAAATTTGAAGGTAATAAAACGTAACATATGAAAAGAGCAGTGTTTCACTGCAGCATGTAGACTCCCAAATCCTAGCCTTCTTGGCAGTTTCCTTAAACATAAGTTTAGCAAAGCTAAACTTCTATTTGGAAATTGAGAGCATAATAAAAATGTCCAAAGTACATATCTTCAATATATTATATTATATTATATTATATTATATTATATTATATTATATTATATATTATACATACCACGGGGCTGATATCAAAACAAAAGGATTGCAGGGACCGATACAATGAATGAGACGGAGTGACTGCCACATGCGGAAGATGGGCAGGAAATCGGCCAACTACTCACAGAAAACCACTAACGCAAACGAAGATGATTGGACGGTGACTGCAATTAGGCAGTAAACGCGGGGAAAGTCTATTCTTTGATATCACCCCATGCGCGGTGATATTAGCGTGTTCTATTTAAAGTTAGGGGTATTGGGTGGGGAACACGCACGATTTCCCTTTGTATGTATGACAAATAATGCACTGTTACCCCCTCGCCCGATATCCACGATAACAGGCCTCGCTGGCGCTCGGCCTGCTATCGTGATATCGGGCTCGTGGACAGTGCATTATTTACTACATATTATATTATATTATATTATATTATATTATATTATATTATATTATATTATATTATATTATAATCTTCTTGAATGTTACTGGATTTTTGTTGAATTTTTAAATAAATTAGAATGCATTCCATTCCATTATGCCTCTATATCCTCGGGGGGAGCAAAGGGCCGCAACAACACTCCTCCAACGGACATGATTCTGGGAGATCCTCTTCAGATCGGCCCATGTCATTCTGGCTGTCTTCATTTCAGTGTCCGTGCTCCTTCGCCAAGTCTGCCTGGGTCTTCTAACTTTCTGCTTTCCCCGGGGGTTCCAGTCTAGTGAATAGCGAGTTACGTTTGATGTTGGTTTGCGTAACGTATGGCCTATCCACCGCCATTTCCTCCTTCTGCTGTCTATTTCTATTGCTGTTTGTTTTGTTCTATCCCAGTGGTCTTCGTTTGAAATAAATTCCCGTCACCTGAGTTTCAAGATGTTACGCAAGCACCTTTTGACGAAAAGATTACAAACTTTCGTTTTCCTCGTGACATTAGCAAAGTCGAGGTCTTCCAGTGGTGAATGTCCATTGGATGCCGGTCTTATGGCCTGCAGTGGATTGCGGCACAATCCAGTCCACCACCATCAGAAAAATTACTGGTGACAACATGCATCCCTGACGAACACCGGTCTGTATCTGGAAGGGATCAGTTAGCTTTCTCTCATGTATGACTTGGTAGGTTGCATCTTCATACAGCTGCTGAATGATGGTGTTGTACTTTGGGGGAAAGCCATAGTGCCGCATCAGTTTCCATTTGACCTCCCTGCCCACGCTGTTAAACGCCTTCGGGAAGTCTACAAAATCGCTGTACAGTGGTGTCTGTCAATCCAATGACTGCTCTATGATGATTCTCATTGTGGCGATGTGGTCTGTACAGGATCTATCTTGGCGGAAGCCCGGGTGCTTGTACGGTACGTCTCGCAGGGTCTTGTCGAGGGCAGTCTTAAGTCTCTTCAAGATGATTTTTGGCAGTACTTTTCCCGGTATAGAAGGTAGCATAATCCCTCTCCAGTTGTTGCACAAGGTAAGGTCTCCAAGTTGGCGGCAATGTGTTCAGCTTTGGTAATTCAACGACTGTGGCTAAGTTTCGTCAACAAATAATTTTAGCGAGATCATTTGACAGCCAAAAACTAAGATTTTCATCATTTTTTTTTCTCGCGAACTATTCACTCTCCTAATCATGCACACTGCATTCTGTCCCAAACAAAACGCCGCTGCTCTCTGCTCTTTTCAGATTACTTCTTGCTAACATAGAGTGAAAGTGAACCCTGCAACATAACCTGAATGGGTTCACACCACCTTAGAATTGCGTCACCTGACTGTTGAGCCACCATACATCTTATCCTAGATTAACATCTGTACAAAATCTATGTCAAAACTAACAGAATGGATTATTTTTTAGATAATGATAAATAACGACTTTGGGTACTTAAATAATCTTTTTTTTTTTCAGTACACCTTTAAATACAAAACCTTACCTAATGAAGATAAAGTTGCAGCACACCAAAATATGTCCCCGGTAAAAGCCGTCAAGAACAAGAAACCTGTCATGATTTTACCAAACTTTCGGTTGAAGGGATCCAGCATAGTGACATTATTGCCTTTGCGCATCTTTTTGACAAAGAATGCAGCTGAAATTTTGAAAATAAATATCTTAAAATCTATCCGAAACAGTGGGAAAATGTGCAATGATCATGCGAAATCTATCTTAAAATCATTAAATGATCACATCAGATTTTTTGCAACAAAAAGTTGGATATTAAAGTTAAAATGCTTAATTTTTCAAATTCTGAAAGATGCATATCTACAGTATAAACGACATTCAAGTGATGTTCAAAAAATATAGCGTATTTACAATTCCAATTTTTACCATTGTGTCATTCTCAAAGTTATACTTATCAGTGAGGAGACTTTACTTCTTGCGTAACATATGGTAAATTGTGTTGCACCAGTGCACGACCACTGTACGTATTGTTTATTACCTAAAATAATACCCATACAGTACCCTAGCGGCATACTGAGCGAGGACAAACCGGAAGTGTAGATACCCTTGCAACCCCGCTGATCAGAGCGCCATCTACCGTGGCTAGAAATCAGGGATAACAACTCTTTGAATGAGATCCATATTTCATAATAATTGCATTGAAAACAACATATATAAATATAATAAACTGTTATCACAATTATACTGACAACTGTGCTTGCCATCGAACCACGTAGCTTCTGTGGATGGCTGCCCACTGTAATGATCTCTTAAGTTGGATAAAAAACTCTAAAGGGATTGTTACAAAGATAAAATAATAAAATAATATTAAAAAAATAACGATGAAACACTATTTGTGAAAGATAAGATAGAATATGTTTTTTTTTGTTGCCTTCAACTCAAAAGCAAAAACTGTTGAAATATTTAAAATTATTATTGTTGTTATCAATTTTTTAATTATTATTTATATACAAAATAGAAACAAACTGACCTGTCATAGTAAATATACCTATAAATACCCCAATATTTCTCCCTGCGAGCAAGACATCCTCACTCGTCGCATCCTTCCCCTTCTTTTTATTTTTCCACGCCGCCCAGATCCCAAGGATGAAGATAAGCAAGTAGAACACAATTATGGAGACGAGTCCCCACACATGGACAGCCATATTCCCAAAGTAGCCGTTACAGACTTGTCGTGCCAAAGTGTGAATCCCAGCGTTGACAAAACAAGTAAAGTCGAATTGTCGTGTCTTTGCCTTCAGTACATAAATATAGACATGTGTATACCTAAAGGATCTGTTCTTCCACGCTGTTGATCAACACAAGAATATAAGACAAATTATATGCAATATGTAATGGCAGCAGAATGTTGTCATCACATGCAGGTGTTTATCATGATAATAAAACGATCAGCCTATCCTTAAAGTCTTATTCACGTTTTGAAAGACATACAGTGTTTGTCTTCAGTACGTATTTTTTGCCATGTTGTGTATATTGATGTAAAAAACGTGAAGAATTTAGTACTCCAAAACCTGGCCAGCGATTTTTCTTCAAAATCTTAGATCAGATTTCATCAATAATAAGGCAAACAGCTGCCTTTTTAATGAAAAATGTTATAAGGGGCTCATAGCTCCACAACAAAAAAAAAAAAAATTAAACTAAAATGACGACACGGGGTTATATTGTTTTAAAACCACGCAAAGACAGATACATTATTGAATAATAAGATGCAGGAAACCCTTATTTTCAGTAGTGAAACTTTATCTACAAAATTATGCCTTCGAGTATGGGACGTTATAGTCTTGTACGTTTATTCCAGACATTAAGCTGAAGAAGGAAAATTAAGCATAAATGTAAGCATAAAACCAGCAGTTTTCACAACGATATCCTACCCGCATTGTATCTTGAAGTAAAACATATATACTGAACAGTGAAACACCGGCATATTCTCATTGTCAAAACCTGATAACATATGTCTACATCTACATAATTTGCGATTCAGAATTACTGAAAGATACATTATGATAACAAAAGTTAGTAATGAAAACTTCATTTATGGTCCTAAGGTATTAATTTTAGAATAGTTCCAATGGACACCAAAAACAGCTTGTGTCTGCTTTGGTGAGCGTTTCCTCGTTATATAATTTTGTGACGTTTCATTACCCTTCAAGTGACCTTGTGGGATCACTCACGACCCATGCCACTAGATTCAATGTGCCGTCTCTTTATTTTTTTATCAGGAAAGTGTCACATGCATGTGTTTCATGCAACCAGCCAGTGTGCCCAGAACATAGCCACAAACAAGTAGATTGTGAAGATTGTGCTTGAAATATTACTAATAGTGCATCGCTGGAACTTATTTCAGTAGCTTTGTTGGAACTTGTTTTCATAAATGGATCTCTCGTTTTGACAGTTGCAATTTTCGGGTATTTCAGTAATATAAAGAATTTGTCGGTATCATAGTACGCATATACAAACAGGATGTTCGTGTGGTTTTTGTTTTTTACACAGATGTGGTAGTGACATAGGTTGATTGAAAGTGTTTGTGTAGGCTGACTTCTTTCTTCCAGTTTTAGCGTATACATTCCCTTATCAGTAAATCATCCAATTATTTTACATCTTATCAATGACTATTATCACATTTAATATTATGCATTGCTTCCGGCTGTCTGGCGGAATTGCTTTTCATCTTAACAACAGGAATTGACTGAGCCGCACCGCCTACCGGAGATAGGCCTTTTTGCAATACGCGGTTGGTACACAGGCTATTAGACATGTGACCTTTAATGAACACATCATTATGCTTTGTGGAAATCACAGCGAAACAGTGCATTGAGGAGGTACAGGCTATGAATTTAAATAAATGGTACAAAATATGGATATATTCATCGCTATTTTGTATTCTCTGTGACATTTTTCATACTAGTTACATAATAATGATATCTGGAATAAAATGCACTGTTTATAACAATTACACCTGTGAGTTGATCATTTGTAAATGGTCATACTTGATCTATGTTGTTTGCAGACTGCATGAAATATCAGTTGGACGTAACTGGCCCCGGCGTAACAGGAATGCAAGTGCGCTAAGAAGTGTAACCCGCTTCTCATTATTTTGTACAGGTACATGTAGCTTTCGTCCTATATACTATAACCCCAATACCCCAACTTAACCTAACCTGTACTAATCATTTAGGAATCCGGACTTTAATTCCTAGGACTTGCATTCTTGTTAGACCGGCTCCAACATGAAGTCGTCATCTGCTAATTACAATTATGTATCACCGTTATCAGATTCATTTATCTCTACCATCTGTCTGGGAAGTATCTCCAAAGCAATATTCTCCTTAGTATCGATCGGAAGATTTTGAATTTCAACTGATCGTTGTTCATCCGCGTATTCTTTACATTTACTCTCTGAATGCCAAACAATGCCGCTGAGTACGTCAAATCGCCGTGGCAACCAGCCAGCACGGAACGCGACGTTTGTGATGTGTGACACGAGAAGGATTGTGAACATGCTGATGAGCATACTAGACGTCCTATAGGGGAACGGCTGGAAATCCGTTTCCGCTTCATACCAAGGCCACCGCAGAACTGCTCTCAGGCCTAGCATCGACTCCCCGCTAAGTACCCGGATAATCAGTCCCAAGACGTACCCAGTAATTGATCCATAGATGTTGGCTGCGTCTACGAACAAGACCGAGGTCAGCTGAGGGAACAGGATGACGTAGATCAGGTCAGAGCACAGGATGGTAAGGGTGAAGATGCTTGTGATCTTGATGGCCAACACCGTGGTCAGAATGGCCATGAGAATCATAAATACTCGCATGGCCCATATAAGTTCACGTTCACTGGCCTGGAAAATGTTAAGCAGGTGTCAGTGCGTTACTGAAGGGCAAACTATACGCGTGTCACCAGATGTGCAAGTAACATTTGTCATAATACAATCATCAGGTATACATGTAAAATAGTGCATTTAAGCAATACTGAACAAAGAGCGCTAAACACAACCTTAGAGAATGGAAAGATTGCAGCAACATGCAGCATTAGTGCTGCAAACTAAAGGTTAGTGGCAATGAGTTAGTGCAAGGGAAAAAAAACTTTATTGCTGCTTATTTGCGCCTTCATATTTGCATTAAGCCTAAAATGTTCCTATGGCTCATCATTCTGAAAGCTGACGGCCTTATTTTTATATTTCTGTCATTTACCTTACATTTGTGATTTTATATCTTTACTACCCATGAGATATGATTTTTACACGAATAGTACGTATATGTTTCTTACTCCAACATATATTATTCAGGTACATTGCAAACTGCCAAGACAGATGATTTTTTAAGCAAAGGAATTTCTGTAACAACGATATCAAAATAATTATGCATAACATCTTAAAAAAGGATGGATTTGTCTAGCAAATACCTTTCCCATTCTTGCCGGTTTATAGATATTGATGGAAAACATGGAGCTCGAGGAAAGCAAAATGGAGTCTGCAGACGACATGACTGCAGCGGAAATGGCGCCAAGACCAATCAGAGAAACTAAAAAAGTATAAATGCATTGGTATAGATGAATATTATATGAAACGATTGCACAGAGACTAACTCGTTAATAAACGCTTTTACATAGTACTAATGTGTATGCTTCCATATTAATTCAATTCAATTTAATTCAATTCAATTCATGTATATTATATTATATTATATTATATTACATTATATTATATTATATTATATTATCGACAGTTACTGTTTAAGTTAAAGCAATAACAACTCTTCCTTTGAGATTTAAAATTTCGCAAGTAATACATTGTAAACAACACTTGAGTATAAAAGCAGACGCATGATGCAATCCTCAGACGTATTTTGCGAGTTTTTGTACAGTGCGTCGGAAAACGATCAGCCCATAACTCCACACATTGAAGATAAAAATGCATTTTGAGCAATAAGACGAATATATCTTATGAACCTAGTTATTGTTATAAAGTGTTGTTGTTTTCTGCTTTTTCTGCGGTTTTAAGTAGGTCACCAGAAAATATCGCTCGATATCGCGTGACAGAGCAATGTCAGAGAGGGCTCCGTCAGACAAAATCTCTTAAGAGATTTTAACAAAGAACCAAACGTTTAGGAAAAAAATACTGGACTAACTTTGAATGCAGGAATGGGGTCATATTGGCCAAAAAGAAGACTTAAAATGACTTTAACATTACCTAAATTTTGTCATTTTAAAAGCTATTGTGAATCATATATTATACTGATATTACCTACAAAAGGACACACATAATGCAAGACAAGCGGTGCGATCAGTTTTAGATCATCTGCCGGAAACGGAAGTTCTCCGTCGTACGCTGTGGCGTTCCAATCTGACACAAAAATATAATAAAAGAAAACAGTTTCCAAATCTAGTTGCAACCATACAACATTTGTTAGAGGGACTATCCATTTCAGTGCAAAGCAGATTATCAGAGATACAGGAATCGTTCTGAATGTAGAAGCATGTCCATTGTTTTAAACACGCGGTACAATGGACATCTGACCACGAACGAAGTACAGTAAAAATATTTAAAGTAAATTTAGATGAATATCGATGCCCAAAAAATGTTTTTGACCAAGATAAATTACCAACAGATACTGCCACCATGCCTATGAGTACAGGCGGTATTGTGCAGACTGCAAATCCTACTGAACCTGCGTACATCATCACTTCCGCCAACCTCGATGACTTCATCGCCAGGACGCGCTGCCACAATACCTGTTTACCAATTAATGACAAACATAAATACCATTTATAAACTTAAAGACGCATACAAAGTCAATTTTTGGTCACAAAAACCCACCAAATGCCAGGATAGAGTCCCAAGTAGTATAACTAAGATAATTACAAAAGGGATTGTTCAATTTTATCCAAAAATGATGTTTGAATGGATTTTTCTGCTTGCATTCTATGCTGTATGTGAATGGGGCAGAAAAGTAGGTCACGAAAGTAAATTACCGACCAAAAATTTAAAGAAAGGAACAGTCTAAAGCTTTTTTATGGCTGATCGAGTGGTGTATTCAGTTTATCTCTTGGCATGTCGAATTGATTTGAGTATAAAGAAACTAGTAGAAGTGGTTAACATTTGTTACTGAGAATCCACGCTCCACCGCTGCTCAGTTCGTATGTACCTTTAAGTAATGAATCATTTTACCCAGTGGCTACCGCCCAGCAAACATGACCCTTTATAACGTCACTACAACGTTACCATAAAGTCATTTGGGTTATACAAACGTTAAAGTAACTTAACAATAAGGTTATTTGCTTGCTGGGTGGTATACAAATTCAGCAGTTACCCTCCTCATCGCCACATGATTTTGAAAACAGTTTAGTCTCTATAAAGAATAATAATTTTCCTTGATATCAGTCCATCAAGTCTCGTGCTATACTCAACGACCAGATAATCACCACATGTGTTACAAATAGCCTGCTTGCCGTAAGGAGGGAGGGACACTGAAGACATACCGGGGTACAATAGCCACCTCGAAGTATCTTCTATAAGCCCTCCGACTAGAATATAAAAGAAACGAGTGCTTTTACCTGCCAAGGTATTCCTCCCATCATTATTTGGAGCAGTGTATCTATGTAGGTGCTGACGTCATGGTTTGGAACCGTCCCTACCCACTTCTCTGACGTCTCTGATAGTGACGTCATCAGGGGGTTGGATAAGGCAAAAGGAATGGTCAGCCACTAAGAAAGAAATATATTTACTTTTTTTCCAATTTAAAGGGATGTTACAACTAAATAAAACCTTCTTCTCCATTTCCTCTACAGAAAATTAACTGCACATATTGACGTCTGCTCTTGAGTTCGACCCATCTACAGGTAAACAGGGATGGACGCACGTGCAACCACCTGAAGTCGGTTGTTTCTTACTGTACTTTGGCTACTTTTCAGTTTTTTATATAAAAAGAAAACGTTGTGAGAACTAGAAAAGCACTCCGAGAGCGAAAGCCTCCGCAAATGCAGCAAAGTCTGCACCCAATGCCGTTTCACCCCTAAATTTTCATTCTATCACGATTAATTTTTTTAATTTTTGATTATTGATTGATCATTGATGGATCATTGATCCGGATCATCACCAAAAACTAACCATCTATTCCTTGGCTCACTTCTGACAGTTCCTGAAAATTTCATTAAAACAGGTTCATAACTTTTTAGTTATGTTGATGACAGACAGACAGACAGACAGAAAGACAGACAGACAAATAGGGGTGAAAATATGACCTCCTTGGCAGAGGTAATAAATGCAAGTTACTGTTTATCTATGTGTGGGAGTACATGGTGAT